GGCACCGGGAACCAGAACCAGGAGTGGAACCGGGACCAGAAATGGAACTGGGGAACTGGAACTGGGAATGGAACCAGAACCAGACCAGGACCAGGACCGGGAATGGAACCGGGACCAGACTGGGACCGGTCAGGACCAGAACCAGGACCAGGAGTGGAACCAGAACCGGGAACAGAACCAGAACCGGGAATGGAACCGGAATTGGACCGGAACCAGGGAACTGGAACTGGCACCAGGAACCAGAACCAGGAATGGCAGCGGCACCGGGAACTGGTACCAGAACCAGAACTGGAATGGGACCAGGACCAGGAGTGGAACCAGAACCGGACCGGGACCGGGACCAGGACCAGGAATGGCAGCGGCACCGGGAACCGGGACCAGAACCGGGCATTGGTACCGGGAATTGGAAATGGGAACAGCACCGGAACCGGGACCGGGAATGGAACCGGAAGCGAAGTGGGAATGGGAAACGGAACCGGGGCCAGAACCGGGATTCAGCACCAGGGCCAGAACCGGGAATCAGGACCGGAACCGGGACTGGGATCGGTACCGGGACCGAACTGGAACCGGGAGCGGGAGCAGGAATTGGTACCAGGATCAGAACCGGGACTGGGATCGGTACCGAGGACCGGAGATCGATATCGGGAACTGGGAATCGGAACCGGGACCGGGAATCGGAGCCGGGAATAGAACCGGGACTGGGATCGGTACCGGGACCCAACTGGAACCGGGAGCAGAGCCAGGAACGGGGATCGGTACCGGGGACAAAAGATCGATACCGGGAACTGGGAATCAGAGCCGGGACTGGAACCGACACCGGGAACCGGAACCGGAACCGGGACCCGGTAACGAGATCGGCACCGGGAAACGGAACCGGAACCGGGAATTAGCAACGGGACCGGGAATCGGAACCGGGAATTAGGAACGGGATCAGGAACCGGAACCGGGACCGGCACCGCCCGAGGACCCCCGCGAGCCCCTCCCCGGCCCCCCCGGTCCCCCCTCACTTCTTGAGGAAGGCCGCGAGCGCCCTCACGAACTCCTGCTGGTTCACGTCCTTCACCGTCACGCCGGGCATCTGCGGGGACACGCGCGGGGTCAGCCCGGGCCGGGTTTCACCGGTTTTTTCCCGGTTTTTTGCCCGTTTTTAACCGTTTTTGCCCCGTTTTTCCCGGCCCCGCTCCCGCCCTCACCTCGCCGCCGCCGCTGCCGCACCGGAAGAGGCCGAGCACGGGGCCGCCCGCGCCTCCAGCAGGGGCCCAAACCTCGCGAGACTCCCCCGGCCAATCCGCGCCGGCGAGAGAGCGCCCCGGCCAATCAGCGGCCAGGCCGCGCTGTGATTGGTTGGCGCCACGGCGCTGGGAAGGGTTCGGTCGGCGTGGCCACGCCCACCGCGGCGCGGGCGCTGCTGATTGGCGGAGCGGCTGCTGAGGCCCCGCCCACTGCGGGGATGGCCCCGGGCCAGCGCCGGTGTCCCCAAAGGTCACCAGGGGTCACCAGGGGTCACCAGGGGTCACCAGGGGTCACCAGGGGTCACCAGGGGGTCCCAGTGACCCCGGGGTGTCCCCAGGGGTCCCTTGAGTGTCCCCCGTGTCCTCAAGGTGCCGCTCGTGTCCCCGAGGGTCCCTCGGGTGTCTCCAGGGCTGTCCCCAAGGTGTCCCCGATGTCCCCAAGGTGTCCCCAAGTGCCCCAGTGCCACCCCCAGAGGTGTCCCCAATGTCCCCAGAGGTGTCACTCGTGTCCCCAAAGATCTCTCAGGTGTCCCCAGTGCCCCTGTGCCACCCCCAGAGGTGTCACTGCTGTCACCAAGGTGTCCCCAAGGGTCCCTCGGGGGTCCCCAATGTCCCCACAGTGTCCCCAAGGTGTCCCCAGTGCCCCTGTGCCACCCCCAGAGGTGTCCCCAATGTCCCCAGAGGTGCCACTCGTGTCCCCGAGGGTCCCTCGGGGGCCCCCCGATGTCCCCAAGGTGTCACCGGTGTCTCTGTGCCACCCCCAGAGGTGCCACTGTGGGGTCCCCAATGTCCCCAAGGGTCCCTCGGGTGTCCCCAATGTCCCCGGGTGTGTCCCTGTGGGGGTCCCCAATGTCCCCACAGTGTCCCCAAGGTGTCCCCAGTGCCCCAGTGCCACCCCCAGAGGTGTCCCCAATGTCCCCAGAGGTGCCACTCGTGTCCCCGAGGGTCCCTCGGGGGCCCCCCGATGTCCCCAAGGTGTCACCGGTGTCTCTGTGCCACCCCCAGAGGTGCCACTGTGGGGTCCCCAATGTCCCCAAGGGTCCCTCGGGTGTCCCCAATGTCCCCGGGTGTGTCCCTGTGGTGTCCCCAAGGTGCCACCAATGTCCCCACGGTGTCCCCATGTCCCCAAGGGTGTCACTGATGTCCCCAAAGTGTCTCCAAGGTCCCAGTGCCACCCCCGGGGTGTCCCCAGGGGCCCCTTGGGTGTCCCCAAAGTGTCCCCAAAGTCTCTGTGCCACGCCCAGCGCGTCCCCATGTCCCTGTGGTGTCCCTGGGTGTCACCAAGGTGTCCCCAAAGGTGTCACTGATGTCCCCAAGGTGCCACTGGTGTCCCCAGAGGTGTCCCCAGAATGTCCCCAATGTCCCCGTGGGTGTCCCTGGGCGTGTCCCAAGGGTGTCCCCGCTGTCCCCACAGTGTCCCCATGTCCCTGTGATGTCCCCAGAGGTGTTCCCGGTGTCCCCGAGGTGTCACCAAGGTCCCCAAGGGTCCCTCAAGTGCCCCAGTGCCACCCCCGGGGTGTCCCCAATGTCCCCAAGGTGTCCCCAAATGTGTCCCCAATGTCCCCAGGGGTCCCTTGGGTGTCCCAGTGCCACCCCCAGAGTGTCCCTGTGTGTCCCCAAGGGTGTCAATGATGTCCCCAAGGTGTCCCCAATGTCCCTGTGATGTCACTCGTGTCCCCAAGGTGTCCCCAGTGTCCCCGTGGGTGTCACTGATGTCCCCAAGGTGCCACTCGTGTCCCCAAGGTGTCCCCAGAGGTGCCACCCCTGTCCCTGTGTGTCCCTCGGGTGTCCCAGTGCCACCCCCAGAGTGTCCCAATGTCCCCAAGGTGTCCCCAGTGTCCC